GATTCGAGACGATAGGAGGTGATTCGAGGTTCGTGGTTAGTGGATTCGTGTTCAGGGTGGTTGGATGCTTTAGGGGTGTGAAGGGGATGGTCACCGGCGTTCGTGCCGCCGGCTTTAATGGCGAGGGAGACTAGGGCGGCTTGCTAGGGTTTGGGGTTTCAGGTTTGATCTTGGGGACGAAGGGATGGGGTGCTGGTATAGGGGGCGTGGGGTGTAAGGGAAGGTTTATATATGGTCTATGGGATTGGATCTGAGCCGTTAGATCAGATGATCTCAACGGCTTGGATCTGAGGGTGAGAAATGAGACGGGGTCGTTTGGTAGTTAAACGGGGTCGTTTGGTTTAAGTGAGGGGTTGGGTCAGACCGGTTATTTGGGTCGGGTTTGAGAATGGGTTGCTGAAAGAGGTCCTGAGCCGTTGGATTGGCCTGGACGGACGGCTCAGATTGATTTGCCTGAAACGGCGTCGTTTCAGGAGGTGCCTGGGCAGGCCTGGTCTGGACCGGATCAGTGTTTTCGGTTTTGGGCCTCGTTTTGGGGCCCAATCAGATTTTCCTTTCCCTTTTTATTTCAACCAATTAATCCAAAAATTTCTAAAATAGGGTAAATAATTAAAATAAAACTTGCACACATATTGTGTAACACCTACAACAATAAACACACATAAATGGAATAAAATAAAAATAAAAAATAAAGAAAATGGTTAGATTACAGCTTAGAACGAACGATGCACACATACGTATATTTTTTTGAATTTTCTTTTAACGACACATATATTTTTTTGTATTTTTGTTTGATAATGACTAGATGCAAAATGGACAGACCCACAAATGACTAACAACACATGTCACGGAAAGATCAAAAAATTGTACAGCGAAGCCATTTGTCACTATTTTTATTTTCTTTTGGAGCGATTGTCCGTGAAGCAAAAATCACGTGCTTACAGTACCCATGTTCAAAATCGTCACAAAAACTTATCCCTCTAAAGTTTGAACCAGTTCCGTCTCTAATAGAATCCTGACCGTATAAAATGCCTAGAATCTAAGGAAGCTTAACCGCTCATTCAACCTGAAATTTTAGGTTGATTGGACTTCTAATTGACTACAAAANGTTTGACCGAACCTTTGCTCCAGAGGTTTCCTACATATCCTGGGCTGAACAGGAATCAGGTCAATGTAGTTCGGGAAATTTTGNGTCGTTAGTCATTAATTAAACCTCTTTATTTAAAAATCCATCATCACAATCATTGCTTCACTCAAAATTCTCTAAACCGTCGAATTTCTTCTGCTCTCCATTCTTCTCACTTCAAAAAGCCCAATTCAGAATTCATCTTCCAAAATTAGCAAAGATGTCTAACCCCCAAGATAACCTAGGCAATCCTCCACAACCTACCCCCTCTGATTCCTCCACTTCTCCTCAACCCAGCACAACACCCAACCTAGGAGAAGACGAGTGAAAAATGGTTGCTCGCAAAACGGTGGCTACTGGTTCTTTTTCAAAGAAATCAAACGCGAAATTAAAGGCAAGCCAAGCCTAAGATTCTGAGAACTCAGATGATTCTTTCAAATCTGCGAGTGAAGGGGAAGGAACTTGGTCTGCTGTCTCTGAGAAGGCTCAAAATTCCCCTTTTGAGGTACGTTCTGTTTTAGTTGAAAATTTAGACAATAAGTTTGTTATGGTTGGGTCTGTTAGGAATGTTGAATTGCCTGAGTCAAGAAGGATAGGTGGTAAAAATAAAGGTGAAAAAGAAAAGGAGAGTGAGGGTGTGCATAGTGATATGAGGGGAAAAGGGAAAGAAGTGGTTGATTCCTCACCCACTTCTGAATTGGTAAGACCAGCTATCTGTGGGGCTGAACATGCAATTGTGGAAGAGAGTAGCCAGAAGACAGGGGAAAGTGATTCAGGGGAGGCTGTTGAAGGGTTGGTTAACCTTAGTTCACAGGAAGATGAACATGGTTCATCTATTGAAGAGACCCTAGCAGATCTTCTGAAAAAAGTGGGTGCAAGCTATGATCCAAAGAAAAGGAGAACCCCAACACCAAAAGCCACCAACACTACAAAAGTTTCCAAGAAAAGAAAGGCTTATTCTCCAACAACTGCTGAGATTCCTCTACCAAAGGGAAGGGCCACAAGAAGCACAGTGAAGTAGAGTGAGAGTGAGTTACAGAAGGCTATGGCAGAAAGCAAGAAGAAGAGGATAAATAAAGGGAAAGCTAAGGTTGCAGAGCCTGTTGATGTGGATGAGATGGAACAGGTCCATCAGGAAGAGCACAGAACTGTGGAGGTTCAGAACCCCAAGCCCCAAAAGACCAAGACTTCTTCCAAGAAGTCTTCATCTGTGTCTAAGACTGCTGAACCTTCATTGGCCAAGAGGATAAGGTCTGGTGTGAAAAACAAGCAAGTTAGAATTACTGAGGAGGAGGAATGAAGTGGTGAAGAAGAGAGTGAATCTGATGATGAACAAGACAAGCTGGCCAAGTTTGGCAAAAGAAAAATCTTGAAGGGTAGACTTCTGAAGGATTTGATGGAACCAAGGATGGTTTGATTGGTTGATACTCTAGCTGTTCAAGGCTGGAAGGACATGGTCCTTCAGTTGGATGGTAGGCATGCCAGGAATGATATCATTGAATTCATGGCCAATGCAGAAGTCAAGGATGACGGAGTTACCAGCCAGGTGAAAGGGGTCCAAGTGACCTTTGATGCAAAGGAGCTGGGTGAGATTCTTGACATCCCCTCTGAAGGATATGATGATTATACAAGACAAAGATGTCCAAGTCTGGACTCCCTTCCTACTGCCCTTACAATCACTAGGAGATTCTGTGATGTCACTGAGGTGAATGCGGCCAAAGTTGTGCATAAGAGTGAAATGAAGTCACGCCACAAAGTCCTGTTTGAATTTGTCAACAAGTGCTTGCTGCCTAGGCAGAAAAGAAGGCACACTGCTAACTATATGGATTTGGTGTTGATGGAGTGTCTTGAAAGTGGAAGGCAGATCAACTCGCCTGCATTTATTATCAAGCTACTGGACAGGGCTATTAATGGCTCCAAAGCCCATGCCACTCCTTATGGGTTTATTCTGATTACTGTTCTTGATCGTTGTAAGGTGCCACTGAAGAAGTGGGAAATGACCACAAGCAAGGATCATTTTGGAATCAACGTTTTGATTGCTTGTGACTATGAGGTCACTGTCATTCCCAATGAACCTGGTTCATCCAAAAAGACACCGATCAACAACAAAGTCAGAGCTCTGATGCAAGAGAGTGGAGCAAAAGATGCTGAGATAGCTAGGCTAAAGGCTCGTTTAGCAGAGGTTGAATCTGAGAGAGATGCTCTCAGAACTGAGCTCACAAAGGAAAAGGAGAAGAATGATGGCATTCTTCAAGATATGTTGCACCTTCTCCAAGCCAAAACCCAACCCTCTAGTTCTTCCAAGCCTTAAATTCTTGAAACTTATCTAGACCCTTCAGTGACCTAGATTCGGGATTTTTCTTGTTTTGCTCATGTTTTGACTATTTTTGTTTCTTTTTGTGGATTGTAGTCGAATCATATTTGCTATCAATGAAGTTTGTTGTGTTTGCTCTTGATTAATTGTTTATTTTTCCTTGATAGTTTAAATATGTTTGGTTGATTACTGATGATTAATCCATGATTGCACTTGTAGTTGCCCCAGTAACCATGGGTAATTGTTAAAATTCTGGGAATCACACTATGTTTATGCAACTTTTCGATGATGCCAAAAGGGGGAAGAATAATGATATTGTGCTTGTTACATTCTGAATAAGTGATTTTTATAACCTAATGAACCTGGTCCTTGATGATAAGTAAAAATTCTCTAACTTTGCATTGATGAATAAGCTCAGTTCTGACAGGGCTGAAGTGAGTGAAAAACGCAGAGCTTGTCATCATCAAAAAGGAGAAATTTGTTGGCCCAAGTAAAGTTGAGTTTTGAAGACTGACAAAGGAACTAAGACATGGACCAGGTCCATCATAGTGAACCACAGATATGGTCAACTCAAGCATGTGAGATGCACGCAAATGAGATAAACCTCACTTACCAGAAATGATATCTCTTGATCCTGATAGAAAATGTTTGGATAAGGAGAAAGACTTTTTACACAAAGAGAACACAATTTAAGAAATGGATAGAGTTAGAGGATGAGACCAACTAGAACTCTTCCACCAAGGAAGAGTAACATCAGTATTCTAGTCAATCTCTAATTACTAACTCCATAAATACCAGAGTTGTTCTCTTTTACAGGTAATGCACATAAGCAGAAATTAAACGTGAGAGCAAAATAGCAAGGCAATTTTGCAAGCAATTTATATGTGATTCAAGCGTGCAATCCTGAAGCTACTTGAACCAGAGAGAAGAACCAGTTCCAAGTGTCTGTCTTTTATTCTAGTTGAATTGTAGTAGGTGTTTTCATATTATATCTTTCAACTTTATCTAGAAGTAATTATATTAGGTACTCAGAGTTTTCAAGTTAGAGTTAACATGAAGTTGTCGCAACAGTTGAGGCTGTGTGCTACAACGGGATTAGAGTTAATCCTAGGTTTACAAAAGAGTTTTTGTAAATGCAGTTTTTGGCTCAGTGATTTTAGTGGAGAGTTTGGGAAAATCCTACTGGAAGGTGGGTCGTGATTTCTTTCACCTTTTGAGCCAAGTGTTTTCCACGTAAAATCTTCGTGTTCTTTAATTTCTATATTTATAATTCCACAACAGTAGTAAATGGAACACATAGAAAAATCAGGTCCTTCTATAATCAGATTAAACGAAAAATTGGGCACCACACAAATTACCCCCTCTTGTGTGGTGTTGAAGTATAGAACATCATATATGGTGCTCCGTAAGAAGGGGGAAAAAATAAACGAGTAACACCTATCGATTATTTGAAACAAATATAAGAGACCACAGAATGAATTCAGCCGATCTCTATCGTTAAAGCAGTTGCTATGAAAAACAGTTGTTCCATTGTAGCCAACCAAATTCACAAACTAGATCTAAAAGAATGATGATTGCAAAGTTAAACCCTTAAACGCCTTCGTACACCATTTTCTCTTTTCCTTCAGTCTTTCAGTTGGTCACACTGCCACAGAAAAGAAATCTGGACAACGTAAATATCCTATGCTGATCTCATAAATGAAAGTGAGTCGAGATGTACCGATTTGTCAAATAAGAGTAAGTGACAACAGAAATATTTACAACAATTTTACATTTAATTGTCAGCCACAAACATCTTAACTAAGCCCACATTGTTTGGAACTTTCGTGGTAGCGAGTCCAATATACCTAATGCACTTGATAGAAACTAAACTGATATTCACAAGGTGGCAGCGACCATGATTTTACTTGCAGGTGAAGCAGCTCAGTTTGTAGGAGTTAAACGTGGAACAAAACCTGGAGGAAAGTCATCAACAGGTTCCCTTTTAACATCTACACGAGGAAGTTCCTTACCACCCTTTGAGGTTCTTGAAACAAGAGTAACTGATTCAGACCAATTGCAGATAGCAGCACTAACAGTTTCTTTAAAAGAGCTATCACAGCCATTTTTGGAAGTAATCTTCGGGACACAAATGTCTACCCTACCTATATTTTCTCCAGCTACCATGTCTATCTCCATGTCATCCTCATTGGCTTCTTTTAAAGAGCTATCAAAGCCATCTCCGAAAGTAGTCTTCGAGACACAAATATCCACCCTACCTACATTTTCTCCAGCTATCATGTCTATCTCCATGTCAACCTCATTGGATGTACAGACAACTTCCCCACCTATCATGTCTATCCCCATATCACTCACTTCGTTGCTGCCCCCTTCAGCACATCCAACTTTATCTTGCCTCACGTGGTGAAATAATCCCCACAGAAAGTGCTCGCTGTTGAATCCTGCAAGAACAACCACAAGGTGAAATGCAGCTCCGGAATTATCACATAATCTTCTTAGAAGTATTATCTTTTGAAGGGTAAGTCAAGTCTTCCAAAATTTTAGTGAACCACCATAACTAAAGTATGCATCAAGAAAAACCAGGAGTTAACATTCTGCTATAAATATTAAATAGTCCTAATAGCAGAATTCAACCCCTATAAGAGGAACTGTTAGGTGTCCATTCTCTTGCATAAATAAGAAAGCAAATTAGTAGGCTTACATATATATCTTTTCCTTTTCTTAATGGAGAAAATGCGAAAAGAAGGCAAGTGTGGGATATATATAGAAGGCAAGTATGGGATATATGTATATCTTTTCTTACACGTGTAGGGTTATATACACAGCACACATTGTCTTTGACTTTTACATGCCTGTGTGTTACGAGATAAACTTACATCAAGGCACACCAACTGCAGGAAACATAATCCAAGTTGCACGTTTTTCAGCCCCAGCGTGCAATAAAAGATTAGATAACTGATCTGGTCTTTGTCATGAGAATGTACATTCAGTACTTCTGCAGCTAGGCCTCTGGATGACTTAACGCATAAATACTTAACGAAACCAATCAAGATCCCCCACTTAAAAAGGCATAATCTTAGAGAGGTAAATTGATCTTCTTATGTATTACCTAAACAAAATATTGAAAGGTAATAAGGTAATGAGAAAAGAATATAGATATTATCAGTGTACGACTGTACGTCGAGAATCACTGCACAGGGTTGTGGATGCAAGTACAAGCAGCTCAACATCATTTCTGAACGCTCTCATCACCAAATCTTTGACATGCATGAACTCCACCAGAGCAATATATTTCTCAGACCTACAATTAATGGGAAATGCAAATAAATTTCTAGTAAAAACCTTCCTCGGCAAGGGGCGCCACTTCTGCTTTGCGACCCTTACCCTTTGCCGGTAGAGATATTAAGGCAGAAACTGACCTTTCTCTCTCACTTGCAAAGAAATACAATCCTATGTCTTCTTTACCCGGATAACGATTGTGGAATAAACTTGACCAGATATGTCCACGTGGAACTAGTTCAAATTGAAGAGTATCAGGCAATAGCCTCGAGAACTCATACACCTTACGTCTAACTCTTGAAGGAGGATAAGCCTGGATCAGATCTTTGGGCATCTCAGGTTTAAGATCACCAAAGATGACAAAACTTCCCCTAAAATGCAAAGAGGAAAAGAAAGACAAATAATTATATGGAAGAGAGCATGGATTCCTGTTGAAATGGTACAATTTCTTTAAGTAAAAGAAACATCAGTCTGCAGAATAATAGAAGGGAAAATTTTCTGTTTTTTACGCATGACAAAAGACATATTTGACTTTCAAGGACACAAAAAGATCCATTCAAACAATAGCTCAGACGAAAAAACAGCGAGAGTTTAGAAAATTAACTTGCAGAACTGAATTTTTTTTAGAAAATAAACAATACGTGGCTCCCATTTAACCTACAAATAATTGTTTTCCATATATGAACATAAGATGGCCATGATACAATGACGTAGAGCGGCAGTAACTTCAAGTAATGTCACAACTCTCAACTATGTAGGAGCATAAAGTCTTTCCCATAGTTGTGCATATATTTTAACAGTGCAGTATTACTATTGTTTTTGTTTGTGGGTGGGNCCCACAGGCACAGATTCCCAAGGGAATGCTGCCCTCCAGGGCTAGAACAGATGGGGGAACCAAGTGTTGTAGCTAGGATTTAAACCTGGGGTCTCCAAGTTGTTACACTATGCAACAACCACTAGGCCATCCCCTGGCGGACTAACATTCCATTATGAACTAAAAAGTATATGTTTCCTTACTTGTCAATGGAGAACTTACAGAGAAAAGGTCAATCAGTCAGCCGACAACCAGCCATAAAAAAAAAAAGCTAGCATGCAAAAATAGAGAGGAGCTGAATTTGCCCAGGGACTATGTTAATTAATGTTGGTAATTAAAGTGCATGATAAAGGGTACTTACTTCCAGGAAGGAACTCCAGCTGGATCACAAGGGTGTGTCTTCGGTGGAATCATCATTCGACTCGCATTCACAGCATCCGGGCTCCTAAGCTCCAGAATGGCAGAACCACCACAACCTTAAAAGTAGGCTACATCAGTTGGATGGAAGTACAAAAGTAAATAAATTTTGCTAACAAAGCTTTACTGATATACCTAGAGTCTGTTGGATGGTGTAAGGAAAATCATTTCCAAAGAGAATATTCAACTCTAGATATATCAGTGTCATTCATTTAAATTTTAATTGAATATATGATAGAACGTGAAATTTCTTAATGAGTAAAAGATATATGAAGAGAACGAATCAGAACAAGTAAAGAGTACAAGAGCTGTCTGTGAACACTTAAACCTTTAGATGATTGACCTGGTTTCTTGGTCATTTCAGTGATTTTGGCTTTTTGAGGATTCTGAGGTTTCAAACATCCTGCTGCACCTAAAGAACGCTGCACTGTACTCTTCTCAGGAAAAGAATTTGGAATTTGAGCTCTAGGCTTGTTAAAATTCCTCCCAGACAGAGTTGCCATGGATTTGGCGGATACAGGTCCTGAGGAGCCAGTAATTTTCAGCAGAGATCCATATGTCTTGATGCCTGATGATAGGCCAAGTGCTTCTTCAACAGACAGATATCTCGTTTTCCCAGTCTGTACCTCCTTTTCCCAGTTAATACAATGCCCACTGGGAAACTTTCTTGGTTTCTTGGGTAGCTCAGTGCTGTGACCAATCTTTGCAGCGGTATGTACCTTGGATCCCTCAGATAACTTATTTTCGGGTCCAGGTGATGAATACACTTTTTTTTCCTTGTCAATATCACATTCTTCACAGCACCAATCATTTGGGGCATTTTCAGAATAGGCTAGCACACAATACCTGGAAGTAAGAGAAAGGCAAAACTTTCAAAAGCAAGAAAAGGACTATGTGTGCAGAAAAGACAGACATTATTTAAGAGAATATCTGTTCAAACAAGTAAGGATTTTATAGATGACAAAAAAAGCAAGCACAGAGACAGCGCTTGTAGATTACATAATCTGGGATCCCCCTTATACAAAAACAAGAAGAGAGGATTCCTTATGCACAAGAATCTTATTCCTGTAGAGAACACAGATGTAGTCTACATGCTATTTCATCCTTTACATCTTGAACATTGCACCAAAAAGCCAAAAACCATAGACATCTAAACTTTCAATTATTTAGGAGAATTGAATGCCACATCATGCTAATGAAAGAATCAAAGTGTCCCTTAAGAGGAACCCAAGGTCCAATACCCTTTAGGATCCGGCAGTGGAAGAATCCAGAAAGACCAGACAATCCCTAAGAGGTTATTATATCAATTTCATTTAGGCTTTTTGTTCCATTATACACTTTATCCCCACTTAAAATTCCAAAAAAGGGGAAGAAAAGCTGGCAATCTAACTAGCAATTTCCTTCTAAGAGGAGCAGACCCTTGTGTGGAAAGATCAACTTCTCACTTAGAAATGTCAAATCACCCAAAAGAGAAGGGGTTTGGGATCGGGAAGTTTGTTCGTAAATCTACGGTTTCTTAGGAAAATGTTTGAGGTTTACAAAGAACATATAGTTATGGCATAAGGTGATTACAAGCAAGTAAAAATTAAGAGTCATGGAATACAGCTTTCTGCCCGATTGTCCACATGAAAGGATTGCTTCTTGAACACCAACATCATTCTGTGCAATCATTTTTACACACACACACACACACACAGAGAGAGAGAGAGAGAGAGAGAGAGATTACTGATGGACATGAACATTTTTACACCGACAGCAGGTAATAATTGCTTCTTGAACACCAACATCACCGCAATTTCCACAAACTGTTTCCTGCAAGTTCATACAGAAAACACACAAAAATTCAGAAGCTGATTGAATCCAGCTTAATTGAAGATCTTATTGCCTTCTAGTTTTCGCAATGAACAAGCAACTTGGTGCTATCAAAATGCTCCTTTTTTATCAAGTTTCTATAAAAATTGCTTCCTTCAACTTCTTTTGTTGCATAGAATAAGATTACCATATGAATATCATGAAGAACGAGGAAACAAAATGGCATTAGCTACACAGCGCTAAATCATAATCAGCAAAATCAAGTTCTCGTGGTCTTTGAGCTCACATACTTATCTTCCACTATAAATCCTCCTTTTGCACCATATGCATATTCACCAGTGCATTCCAATTATTGTACAAACATATTACTTTCCCAGAATATTCTTGGTTACATTCTATCCAAACAGAAACACCTCCAGTACTCTTTGCAGAAGCACTTGAACGGAGTAAAGAACTGTAAAAGCACAATACCAGTTTTCTTCCTGCCATTGTAAATAAATGACATAAGAAATTCAATTTGCTTCTCTTTTGTACTTGTACCATTGGACACAATCTATGTTGCGCTATCAACATCCTTCCCTACATCTTCTTTTGGACCGGAAAGGAGATTTATCAGAACAATGAAGAAGGCCTGTTGTAGTTAGAGAAGAAATTCCTAAATGCACAAATAAAGCTCTCCAATCTACTTGTCCATCAATGCACTCTATCATATAGTAATGTTTATCTTTGCAGCAAAAAGAAAGAAAAAGAAAAACCTAACTGTAATGCAGTACTCATTGATGTTAAACTATTTTAACCAGGTTGACTCCTAGAGTAAAACATCCTAAACACTAGCTAAATTTTATTCCACATCTGCTAATACATGCACAGAGGTATTACTAGTAGAACAAGGTAGAAGCAAACATTCTTAGTAGCGAAGAAGCAACAGAATATCTGAACATGAGGCAAGCATTGAGTAAAAATCGATCAGGATATGGGATATTGAATTGCACTCAAGATAAATTAGGACTTGGGACAATAGAATTCCACTCATATAATAGATGCAGAAGTACTGAATATACAAGGTCAAAGCTTCACAGGTCTGACTGGTTATCCTATAGATAACCGCTTGTAATTACAGTTACCTAGCTATCTCTATTGACTAAATAAGAGCACAAAGCCTGAAACACCAAATTACATAGAAGACACGACAGAAAAATTAGAGCACGAAGCCTGAAGAACAACAAATTTAGCTAGAACCTTAAGCTCCAAGGTCAATTGTTCATTCCTACGGACAGCACGCAAGTGACAATGGAGAATATTAAATTCTCGTTTGAAACTTCAGGCCTACATGCTGTGGAATCATACTAATCTTTATGTGAACTAGGAGAAGAAACATCTGTTAAAAACTTGAACATGAATTAACAAGTTTTTCCTTGCTTGCCAGGTGGAACTCCAAAACCAACAAACCTTTCCTAATGTGCAAACACCACAAATAAGGGAACTAAGGAGTAGCCACAATTTCATGCATCGGTTGCTGCTTTGTAGTGTTTCCGCTCTCCAAACCAGGTTTCTTGCAACAACTCAAATCATCAACCTATGCAGTGGGACAACATTTCCATTGACCTTTACTGCTCCAAACATTCCTTTGCTCTAGAATAGAAGGGGGTAGTTAACTCAGACAAATGAGCTTGAGCCCAAGATGTCAATTTGGTATTAAAGAGTATGCTGAAAGTGCACGAAACTCAGAACTTAAACAGTCAACATCTTGAAGAAGACCATCTATACACTCTTTTCCAGTTATAAAGATCTTAAGCCAGAGATGCTTGGCAGTCTTGCTCTCTCGCATATTTCTGAAGTGGTAAACTAGAAAGCCAGAGGACAGTTATCATCAGGGAGTAACATATTGGAAGAACAAAAACTTGAAAAAGATCGAAAACAACTTTAAGACAATTTAGCTTCACATTAAGCCAATGGAGTTGGAAGATTTCCAAAAATCTAATGAGGTTTGGTCAATGCCTGTAATATATATTGAGAATCAAGAGAAGTTCATCTATAGGGTCAATACATGATATAAGACAATGAACAATCTTTAAGATAAGCTAGCTTATTTGCAAATTCAATTTGCAGTTAACTCTTGCTAAAGACTCTCTTCTTCTCACTTCCCTTTGCACCAATCGTCCCCAAAAATAAATAAAGAAAGAAAAAGAGCGTGATATAAGACAGTTTTTGATCTAAAACATTGTATCATACGGAGGGCCATCCCAGAAATGTGTAATTTACATAAGGAATTCTCTGGGAAATAATTGATCCTGGCAACAGCAACCAAGCAAATAAAATTTGGAGTACAGAAACTAGGTGACCATTATTGGGTTGAAACGTGATGACAATGCAAATAGTAACATGCTATGAGTCACTATGACAAAACAAAGGCTATATTATAGTGATAGAACCAGGGTGATGAGCACAATTAGCAAGAATTGGCATTATCTGATAACTGAATGCTAGAGATGGCAATTCAACGTATTGTAACTATAATCTAGCATTTATTGTACAACCAGAAGGACCCAACTCCCAGAAGCATATTGATTACTAGTGACTAATGGAGATAAAATTGAAGCTTGCTAATAGTTGTGGGACAGCAATATATGTCATAGATCACAAAAGTCGATACATTGTTTGACGATCAAATCCAGAATTTTATTACCACGCTGTTGATGAAGAGAAGAGGGCAATGTTATGAGTTAAATTGTTAAGGTTTTGTGTCAATCTAGTTGCCTTACTGATATAGAAGATGTTACTATAGTACTTGTACTGAATTCAAGCTTCTTATAAAAGGAAAACACACCAGACAAACTTACTTGAGAGTTGAGAATTTGAGAAAGTTAATGTTGTCTATTCTCGGTATGTGCAACATGTCACCCCTTACATCTGATGGACTATATCAATATTTGGAATATAAAGATACTATCCATCAAAGACTGTTAACCATAGGAAAATCATCTAGTGAGCTGGTCAAACGTACCAAATATTTGTACCACAAGGTATGACCCTCAAACAACACTGTCTATCAGGTATTGGCTAAAGGGACCATCCGAACAATATATTGTATAAGGTAACTTATTTTGGTAAGGCAAGACATGTGAAAATAATGACCCAGTAAGCACCACAACATATCCATTTATCGAGCAATTTTTGGTTGGAATGCAATTTTCCATCCCAAGTGTTGTATTTAACCGCTATAACACGATATCAACAACTGGAATAAAAGGGGCATATTTCGCCCTCCTTCCAAAATCAAGAGCATTAATTTGCACATATATGCATATAAGGATAAATTGAAAATTTTAGTGTAAATAATGAAGTGAGAATCAAATGTGAGTTAGCTTCTTAATAATACACTGCTCAAAGTAGAACCACTAATGCGTCGTTTGGTAGAATTCATTAGATAAAATAATGCATGCATTAGCTTTGTGTATTAATAATAACTTGTTTGGTAGATATTTTGAACCTATGCATTAGTTATGCAGGCAATAATTATACATTCTATTTGGTATTATTCTATGCATAACTAATGCATAGAAAACAATGGTATTAACAATGCAATGGGTTTTAATGCATGCATTAGCTTAGTTAAAGATAAAATTGGTCTTCAAAATTTATGCTTGATTAAAATATGTTAGTTAATATATTAATGCAAGTATAAAATAATCCAAATAGTGAGAAATAAAATTATATCTCTTGTAAATAAATAAATAAATAAATAAATAAATACTTAGCATATTTCCTTTTTCTATAAATAAATATTTGGTTCTATATCACAATATAGGTAGACAAATTAAATAATTTTTTTAAAATTTTTTCATATAAAAATATTTCTCAACATATGTTTCTTTTAAAAAGTTAGAGTGATAGACTGGTTTTGAGGGCATTTTTGAAAACAAACAATTCTTTTAGAAATTGTACAATGCTTTAATACATCAAATCAATCAATTGATAAGAAATATGTTAGCAAAATTAATATCAGCATAACTAATGCAAGCATAACTAATACCAGCATTACTGATACACCTTATTCAGCATTATTCTTATGCACCCTACCAAACGACCCCTAAAAGTTTAGATATTAATAAGCTCAAGAAGATAATTAGAGGACAAAATGCATAGAATTAAAAATTGACCGGAGCTGATCAGTCCTTTTGGCCCGAGAATTAAAAGCATGAATTTTCTTCTTGTTTAAGTGATTTCAAATTTAAAACTGACCCGCAAAATTATAGTCAGTTTTCTTGGCCTTTTCTTTTTGTACTGGTAAGAGCTAAATTTATAAATGTCAACAGCCAAGCTCAAAGACAGTGCTTGTGAGTGACAAGATTATGGATCCCCTTATATAAAAGCAAAAGGCAGATAGTATACTCCTTCGTCCTTAACCAAAGGTCTCAGGTTCGAGCGAGCACTTGGTATGGAGTCGCCTTTGTTAGGGAGCGTTTTACCCCCAATATGGGACTTACCGACGCGAATGCGGTTTAGTCGGGTCCCAATATGGATACCGGACACCGGGTGGAAAACCCGAAAAGAAAAAAAAAAAAAAAAAAAAAAAACTCTATTCTTGTAGTGAGTTTATGAACTCTAACATGCCGTATTCGTCTTTTAGATCTTAAATGTTCCACCAAAAAGCCAAAAACCACAAAATATTGTAATACTTATTTATCATGGAAACTGCTAATCAATGCCAGATTTTCTATTAATGTAAAGAATTTTTTCACTATCAGCTTACCTTTACTTATAGCACATAACTTGCATTATCTTCAAGGCTACAATCTCATTTTTATTAGGGATACCTATAATATCTTTTGGTTAACCTGATAATCTGAAAATTCTTTACACTATCGGTGTAAACATAAGTTAAACTATTTAAGTGTACTCGTCTAATTGAAACAATAAGGGTAAAAAAAATGACTTTTTGATTTTTTCTTTTTTAAACTTCAAAAATTTTAAGCAAATTCAGTTAGCTGAAATGACTAATATTTAGGACCAAAATTAGGATTAATTCTAATAATCTATTTGTGCCGGGTATGGTATAACTCCAATTCAACGCACCAGAAAATACATTTTAAAAATGCTACAGAAAAGATAGGTTTAGCGACACTGACTCGAGGCATACAAACACCAAAAACTGAACAAATCCTTCAGACATTTTTAGCAACCTCTATACGAACATTGAATCCAGTAAAGATCAAAAACTCGACATCTTATCTAACCTTTTATTTTTAAATTATTTATTTTCCTTTGAAAATAATACAAGAAACATAAACACTCTACTATTAAATACTCCCTCCGTATCTATGTGAACTTATTTCCTTTTTGGTCCGTGACAAAAAGAATGACCCCTTTACTTATTTGGAAATAATTTAACTTTATGCAATTATTTATAACCGCACAAAATATATATGTTTTATTTTACACCACAAGTTTAAAAAAATTATCTCTTTTCTTAAAATTCGTGCCAAGTCAAATGGGATCACATAAAACGGAGGGAGTAGTATATTTACAACCTTGCCCTTGTAAGTTTTGCTTACAAATCCGCTCTTCTTTTAATAAAAAAAGGAAAAGTGAAAGAAAAAGGAACAGGGACACACATAAACCCACAGTAATCATCTCAAAAAGAATGTCGGCCTTTGCCATTGGAGTGGCTGTGAATGTCACTTAAAAACAAATGCAGAAGCCAAATAAATAATAAAATAAGTAAGGAATATAGCAACAAAAAACCTAGGGTTTTACCATGTGGGCCTGAAATGCTGCTGTTTGGTTCCTTTTGCCTCGGACAGTGAATGGTCAAATGCGTTCCACGGCGGATCACCGACAAAGAAGAAAAAAATGCAAGGGTCCTACACAGCACCCAACTTTTGGCCTTTTGATTATTTACGAATTAATTAATGAGGAAAAAAAATCACAGCATTTATCTTCGGGACAGTGCCAGTTGAAAACGCCGGTTCATCACTGCATTTAACTGGCACAATTCGTGTTTTCTGGAAAGTGGAGAGACCAGTGAGAGATTCTTTACATTTATTTTCTCGTAAAAGTCCTGTACTTTTAATAATTGTTCGTTTGCACCTTGTGGTTTTGATAATTGCACTTAGACGTTTTGCTACTACTAATTTGGGGCAATAGGTCCCAAAAACTAAAATTGGTTCATTTATTTGCAGTTAGTCATAAAAGTGAGAAGTCATGTATTCTGTATGTTAGTGAAAAAATTGCTTTATTGTTAAGAGGTCGACATCAAAAACTTCGTTTTTAGGAAAAAGTCTTTAATTTTTACTTCAGAGCGGGTGTTCGTGGTTCAGTTTGGATCGGTTTTTCCCTAAAAAGAAATCAAACCAAGTAAGTCGGTTTTTCAAATATTAGAACCAAACCAAACCAATTAAGTCGGTTTTTCTCGGTTCGGTTTATGTCGGTTTTTTCTTAAATATAAGACATACACTAGCAAACACATATTCCGGCAACCACATTTTCAATGTAACACTATCAAATCAATTGCCCTTTGAGAAATCTATTATTTACCAAAATATATTGATGATAAGTGAATCAAATAGTGATGAATAATTTAAGGACTCAATTAAAAATATGTTATTTTAACACGAAATAGACTCTTACACTAAACAAAAGAAAACTATCAATCTAACTAGAATGTAAAGGTAAAGAACTATATTAAAAGTGCAAACTATTAACATTTACCATAAAGTTNTTTTTCTGATTAAAACCAAAACCAAACTAAATAAAAAAGTATCGATTTTTTTGATCGGTTTGGTTTGGTTTTCGGTTTGGTTCGATTTTTTGGGTTTTTGTGAACACCCCTGCTTCGTAGCAATGAAGTAAAATAAGTAAAGGTGGCACATCATATATTAATTCTCGTACAGCATGAATATTTTAATTCCAGAAACTGCATGTTATTTTCAGAACGTTCATTTCATGGTGGAAAAGGTACATTGTACTAACTTTTCGTCGATTAGTGCCATTTACAATGACTTTATAAAATTACTAAAATGCCAAGGGTAGCAGAACGACCGACTACGCGTATTCGGAAGGGTAATTAAGTCAATGACAATGTCGGTTTGTTAAATATATCTTCAATTTAAGTCAAACTAACATAGTTTTTTCGACTTCAGTCTTTTCAAATCATATAACATAATATATCATATTCTTCCAAGTTTTACAAGGATATTTTATATATAAACAAAATTAAAGATATAAAATGAAATATTAGTGAGGTACTATATCTTTAGTAAAAGTTTCAAAAATTGACCATCATGAAATTACATTACAATATAATGTAGGGTGAGGAAATTTAGTGACATGACCTGCAGAGCTATAGTGTTGCTTGTTTTACCATCAAAGGATGTGGTGCAGTGGATGAGACTGATCCTCCTTAACCAGAGGTCTCGGGTTCGAGCCCTGGGTACGGAAAAATTCTTGGTAGGGAGCGCTTCCTCCCAAATGGGGTCCTACGCGGCACGAATCCGAATATAGTCGGGCTCCAATGCAGGTACCGAATATCGGATGGGAAATAAAAAAAAATAGTGTTGCTTGTTTTAGACATCTAAGTAAACTTTTAGTGGATATACTTGTAAACTAGATACAATTATATTTTTTTGTTGCTAAATAAGGTCATATGGATTATAATGCACATAAGTAAAATAAAGACCCTACACCGTTAAGTGGGGTGTACATAGGTCAAGTTGGTTCGAATTCTACAATTACCAAACCAAATCAATTGTATCGGGTTATTAAATCTACAGACCAAACCAAACCAATAAAACTCGGGTTTTTCACTCTCGGTTTTTCTCGGATTTTCTCGGATTTTTGGGTTATTCGGGGTTTTTTCCCTGGTAAATCTTCATAGAACAAAACATATAAATTATGCTCAAAATATTTCTTTAATCTTAGTAGATACAAGTATATAAAGTATTTTCCAAGAAAATAATACGAAATATGAGATGTGTCATGACAATATCCTAAAATATTCTACAATAAAGACAATAAAATTATGTAATATATATAAATATTGCTAATTAAAAAGCCATAATAAAAATAAGCATAATCTAAAAGTACTAAGTCATGCTAAAATAAGTAGACTAATAAAGGAGTATTAATTACATGACTAAACGCTAAAGAAAAAATAAAAATAAGTTACGCATTTTTATCTAAATTATTGCAAACAAAAAATAGATATTCAATACATTCTCGTTCGTAGTATTGAATTGAATGTCTTTTGTTAGCATTAGTATTGATTTGATTTTGGTTTGGTCTTTTGTTAGCATTATTTAATTTACAAGTATTAATGACTATAAAATTTATTGGAACATTCAAAAGTTCTAAGTCCAACCTTGAAATAATACCTTAAAAGATAAAATTATGAAATTTATAAATTTTTCAAATGCGTGCTTGAAATATATTTCAACATACGTACTAGTCAATTGTGACTCAAATAAGGGTACAATTATCCATCGCCCAATTAATGAAAAGACCACAACAAAGCGTCGTTGTCACCCTTATTTTGCTGCAGCCTAAGCGGTTGTTTTATTTCAATACAATTTTTTTTTAGCGTGACTAAGATATATAGTCATATAGTTACCATGTTTTAAAAGGTGAAGTTGTTGTTTACTTATAACTCACGTCTAGGCAAATTACTTATAAGTTCAACAAGAATAATGTATATGATAAAATATGTTCATACTAAATGATCGCATGAGAAAGCGATACATGGAGCCGAGGACAGAAGACAATCGGGTTCGAAAGCAACGATCTCGTTTGTTATCGGAAAGAATGGTATTCGTAAAGGCGAAATAAATGACTGTCACTCGGTAACAATTAATGGAGAATATTCTATATCATTAAGTATATATAGTCTGTTATAGAGAATATGACATTTACTGCATGTCGTTACACATTCTTCAATGACCCTCATAATTGTCATTAAAGAGAGACTTGATCCTAGGACTTTGTTCCCTTGGTGCAACTATAAATAGTAAGCTCTAAAATCATTGTAAATGACCCGAATTTTCTGACAAGCATACACTATACTCTATTCAAAGCTCAATAAAATTTTACCTTCTTGGTTGTTTATATTGTTATTACTGCCTTCAGAAACTCTGCTCCCGGAACCAAGATTTCTGTTGTTTTGTCTCAACTTCAAGGTTAAGTTTTACATTTTTGTCTAATTTATTTATCATTTTAGGATCAAATTGATTCAATTGTCTATAAATCATGTATAAATTCAATTGTACCGTTTTATAGGTAAACAAATAATGCCTTGATAAGTGAGGCATTCGATAATACGCCTTAAGGTGGTCTCTTTACGTCACGAGAACGACTATGCAGGTTTCATGCCATGTATTGTCCGTCGTTTAGAATACTATGTTTTTAAAAATGAGTATACGTAACCTTTTTACTTATATAATCTACATGTGATTCTATATTTGGAAATTTGATGAGTTAGAGCATTATGACTCACGTAAATATTTACATAAATATAGCATATATAAATATCAAATATTTATTGTTGTAATTTTATTTATACTTTCTACACTGTTTCTTTTAAAACCTATTTTAAACAGAGTATGTTTATTTTGATATTGAAAATTAGCAAATCATTACCTTGATTTTCACACATCCACTCAGGGATGCAATCTATGTTCTCCCAACATGTGCAAGGGTCTGATACAACAACAACGACGATCCAGTATAATTCCACAAGTTGGGTCTGGGGAGGGTAATATGTACGCAGACCTTACCCCTACCCCGAAGGGTATGATAATAGAAAAGAATATACAAGTCATTATCATGTATATTTTGACTTGCATTTGATTTTGATTTTAGGTAGTTGAGTACGGTTTCACTGTTGATCAACTAAAAGCGGGCTACGAGTCCGCTCTAAACTTGTTTTGTATATATTATTATTATTTTTTTAATTTTTTTTGTATCAAGAGTTTAAAAAGTGGTCACTGGATTTGAACCAACAAAAAAATAAATAAAAAAATAGATTGGAAACAAAAAGTTACTAGTACTATTATCTTACGACATTATAGAGGGGAAGGTAAAAACAAAATCAAGGCAGTCCTAACATACCAACTTATAGTACATAATAGCATAACATGCATATATATGCCAACTTCAGCACATAAATTTTTAACATCGACCCACGACTATCCTATAGTACAGACAATAGAACTTCTCTTGTTCCAGTTCAAATTAATGCAAGTGCAGAAATAATAATGGTTATAAAGGAAAAGAGGCTGGCATTTTGCAGTGAAATCCCAGCATGACTTATATCTGTGTTCATGCCAGCACCCGACGGGCCTAAACCATTGTTAACACCTCCTAATATGCCTGTGTTTGTCACGTATGGAGATCCGCCTGTGGTGGCTGTGCTAGTCGATGGTGTTTTTGTGGTGGGGCTGGTAGTCCCTGGAGTTGTAGGGGTGGCGCTGCGAATTAAAGAAGCAACTTGTCGTTGTTAACCTCAGAACAATTCAGGACACAAGTAATCAAGAGGAAAAGAGAAGACCAAGATACACTAATTAACATGGCATCTCAATCGGCAACTTACTAAGCTTCGCCCCATGCGCACGGCACCTTGCGGCGCTACTTGCACGATGCTTAGCCGTTCTGTTGCCAAAAGCCATCAGCCGCCACGAGCGGTTCCAGACACAACCCACAACAACCGATGGCAATCGGCAACTTACTAAGCTTTGCCCCATGCGCATGGCACCTTGCGGCGCTACTTGCACGACGCTTTGCCGTTCTATTGCCAAAAGCCATTAGCCGGCACGAGCGATGTCGCCTCCCGATGTTGCCCGCAACAACCGATGGCAATCGACAACTTACTAAGCTTCGCCCCATGCGCACAGCACCTTGCGGCGCTACTTGCACGATGCTTAGCCGTTCTGTTGCCAAAAGCCATCAGCCGCCACGAGCGGTTCCAGACACAACCCACAAAGGTACAGATAGTAACAACATAAAAAGGTTTCTTCTTTCCTTGAGGCATGCATGTTAAATAATTAATTGGAACGCGTGGTCTAGTTTTTATAAAATAATCCATCAAATTATACCTCTTTATTTCAATCAATTTCAATTTCACATTGCAGCCTTTGAGTTTCAAGTAGTAAATTAGATGGTTACTGACCGGCTTAGTTTTACTGTGGCTTTAGTTAAAACAACAATGCCATGCCTAAGCCAAAACACCCTTTTCTTTGCTACATTTTTAATGTGAAATGTCACTCCATTTCAGTAGAATGTGCATTACCTACATAAATTGCATCTAGTTGCTCAATATAACCACAAGAACATAATGTAATGAAGACCTCAGTCTAAAGGGCCCAAAGTTAAGTACAAAGGAAAAACTTTTAGCCAATAGATCCCATACACAAGCTTAGTATTATTCTCAGTTAAATTTACTAAGCTATAATATTATATCTTGTCCAGCAACATCCTTAATGTAGTAAAGCTAACCTATTTTGAAGATCACTTCTATCTCAACCATGGCAAACTCTGATAAGACCCACAGCAAACGTCCTCCTCTAATTAGTTGAATCACATGTCTATTTTCAAGATTACTTCACTCAACTTTATGTTTTTTACCCTATACATCTTATACCTCCTCCCCCCACATTTATGCCTTCTCAAAACACCCCCAATAATATATGTCAATATTAATTTATAAAGATTCAACACCAAAATTAAGATGTAAGATTATTGTTATAAAGATATTACATAAAAAATAATTAGGCATATTAGGGACCTATATGAAAAAAGTAAAATTTATAATATGTTAAATTAAAAATATTATACAATAAAAAATAATAACAAATATTGATGAAATAGTAATGGTGTTGATGAATAGTATTACACTAAATTTAGTATAACACTATTCACATACCAAAATGGTGTAAGAAATAGTATTGGGTTAGACCATCTCCAACACTAACACCAAATTTCACATCAAAATGGTGTAACACCAAATTAACTCCAACCATTATACTAAAAAAGAATATTTCTTTTTATATTTTTCTCTCTTCTATATTATATTATTATCTTCTATTTCCTTCAAACAAATTCTATCTTTTTTCCATATTCATCACATTCACCACTTATATAATCATTTATTACAAAATTATTTTAAAGAATAAATTAACTAAAAGTGAAATCATTGATAAAAGATAATTAAATAAATATTACATCATAGTCAAATTTAATTTAAGTATCACGTAAATATTCAACTTTTGCCTCTATTCTCCCATAAATGCTCAATTAATGCATTACGAAATGTGAAATGCGTATTTTTATCCTTAATTTTTTTGTGTCGAGCTAAATATTGTTCAAATCGGTGATCTTCATCTACTGTCATTTCTACCGTAGGAGCTGGACATTCACGTGCATCTTGAATTGGTGCATTAAGATCACGCTTGTCCTCAATTATCATGTTGTGCAGTATAATACATGTGGTCATTATATCACGTAGCACCTCTTTTCTCCAAAAACGTGATGGACATGCAACAATTGCAAAACTCTGAATACAAGTTCAACATGATTCTTGTTTCATTGCAAAATATTTCTTCTTTGCTGAACGTGGCTCCCGAATGGTTTGCACAATAGTAGACCATTTTAGATATATACCATCAGCTAAATAATAACCCATGTCATATTATTTTTCTTGAATAACATAACGGGCTGGAGGAGCAATACCATTGCGAGATTGGAGAATAAATGTGATGATTCTAAAATATTAATGTCATTATTGGTGCCGGGTATACCAAAATATGCATGCCATATCCAAAGGTCGTAATCAGCTACAACTTCAAGAATAATTGTTGGGGATCCACTACATATTGTCGAGCTAGGGGTGTTCATAAAAATCCGAAAACCGAACCAAACCGAAAACCAAACCAAACCGATCAAAAAAAACCGATACTTTTTTGTTTGGCTTGGTTTTGGTTTTGAAATTTAAAACTGATCAAATTTGGTTTTGATTTTAGTAAAAAAAAACGAACCAAACCGAATATAGGAGTAGCTATTTTAAATTTAGAATTACACTTATGTATATGTATACTTTTATACAAAGTTTCAAAATTTTTATAGTAAATGTTAATCGTTTGCACTTTTAGTGCAGTTCTTTACCTTTACATTCTAGTTTGATTGGTAGTTTTCTTTTGTTAAGTGTAAGAATCTATTCCATGTTAAAAATAATATATTTTTAATTGAATCCTTAAATTATTCATCACTATTTGATTCAATTATCATCAATATATCTTGGTAAATAATAGATTTCTCAAAGGACAATTGATTTGATAATGTTACGTTAAAAATGTCGCCGAAATATGTGTTTGGTAATGTATGTCTTACATTTAAAAAAAACCGACAAATAACCAACTTAATTGGTTTGGTTTTAATATTTAAAAACCCGACTTACTTGGTTTGATTTCTTTTTAGGGAAAAACCGATCCACCATATGTCTAGCCCATGCCGTTGGACAATTTTTCCATTTCCAATGCATGCAATCTAAACTGCCTAGCATTCCTGGAAAACCACGTTGTTCACCGTTGTACAGAAGCCTTGCAACATCGTTAGTGATCTCAAATACTGATCGCCAAAAACCACTACGACAGCTCGACAAAATCTCTCCATGCTTTCAATTGTAGTTGACTCTCCAATTTTGACATATTCATGCATCTACCGGCAAACCATATGCCAACATTCTAAACACGGCTGAAATTTTTTGTAGAGTGGATAATCCAAATCTACCCACCGCATCAGTGCGTTGTTCGAAGTACATATCATGACCTTTAATTGCATCAATAATTCGAAGGAATAAATTTCGGGACATTCGAAATCGACGACGGAACATACCCTCATTAAAGCGTGGATTATTCGGAAAAAAAATCGAGAAATAAATTATTATCAGCACCTTCCCGATCTCGATGGATTACCAAGTGACCTGGAATGGAGCCAACTCTCCTAGGATAATTATTTTGATATTCTTAAAAATGCTGCAACATATAATTGTTCATTTAAGTATTTTGCATGAATAATTACTACTTAACTTCATCATCGGCGGTGAAAGATGAAGAGGAATTTTCATCATCATTATTAAATGAACCTCCCATATAAAAATTTATTTTCACAAGAAAAATAAGAACACTTGATTAAATTTTGAAATGAATTGAATGCCCGATATTATTTTCTAAATGATGTTCGATTTTATATAGTGAAAAATGTGTAGAGATAATTTTAAAAAAAGAAATGTAGAGATAATGAGGAAATCCATCCTACGGTTGATAATGGAATGAAATCCGATCCGAGGGTTGATATTAAGATAAGAGATATTTTTTTTGTTTAAAGATAATGAGAAAATCCATCCTACGGTTGGTAATGGGATGAAATCCATCCGACGGTTGATATTAAGATAAAATCTATCCTTTGTGTCTACTTTATCTCTATATATTGAAGTGGGAACATACTAATCCATAACCACAACTAGCTTTTGTTTTTCTGTAATCATATAATCCATTTTTCCTCTAATCACTTAAAAATGTCCGGTCGATCGGCAGGATACACTGCAAATGAAGATAAGTTATTATGTCAAGTTTATTTAGATGTTTCTCAAGATCCTGTAACAGGAATCTATCAATCTAAAGATAATTTTTGGAATCGAGTAGTTGCAACTCATAATCGTTGAAAGGAAGAGAATTGGGTGGAGTGCAACCAAAGATCGATGCAATGTCGACTTCAAAAAACTGAGAAGGCTGTCATAAAATTAAACGGATGTATTCGGCAAACCAAACATCATTTAGAAAAATAACATCGGAAATTCAATTCATTTCAGAATTTAATCAAGTGTTCTGATTTTTCTTCTGAAAATGAATTTTTATATGGGAGGTTCATCTAATAATGATGATGAAAATTCCTCTTCATCATCATCATCTTTCATTGTTGATGATGAAGTTGAGCAGCAATTATTAATGCAAAATACTCAAATGAACAATTATATGTTATAGTATTTCCAAGAATATCAAAATAATTATCCTTGGAGAGTTAGCTCCATTCCAGGTCACTTGGTAATCCATCGAGATCGGGAAGGTGCTGATAATAATTTATTTCTCGATTATTCTTCAAATAATCCACGCTTTAATGAGGGTATGTTTCGTCGTCGATTTCGAATGTCCTGAAATTTATACCTTTGAATTGTTGATGCAATTAAAGATCATGATATATACTTCGAACAACGCTGATGCAGTAGGTAGATTTGGATTATCCATTCTACAAAGAATTACAGCCGTGTTTAGAATATTAGCATATTGTTTGCCAGCAGATGTCATTGATGAATATGTCAAAATTGAAGAGTCAACTGCAATTGAAAGCATAGAGAGATTTTGTCGAGCTGTCGTAGAGATTTTTTGCGATCAGTATTTGAGATCACCAACAACTAATAATGTTACAAGGCTTCTGTACATCGGTGAACCACGTGGTTTTCTAGGAATGCTAGGCAGTTTAGATTGCATGCATTGGAGATTGAAAATTTGTCCAATAGCATGGGCTGGACAATATACAGGTCGTAGTGGATCCCCAACAATTATTCTTGAAGTTGTAACTGATTACGACCTTTGGATATGGCATGCATATTTTGGTATGCCAACATTAACAATGACATTAATATTTTAGAATCGTCACATTTATTCTCCAATCTCGCAATGGTATTGCTCCTCCAGTCCGTTATGTTATTCAAGGAAAATAATATGACATGGGTTATTATTTAGCTGACGGTATATATCCAAAATGGTTTACTACTGTGCAAACTATTCAGGAGCCACGTTCAGCAAAGAAGAAATATTTTGCAATGAAACAAGAATCATGTCGAAAAGATGTTGAACGTGCATTCGGAGTTTTGCAATTGTTGCAGGTCCGTCACGTTTTTGGAGAAAAGAGGTGCTACATGATATAATGACCACATGATATTGCACAACATAATAATTGAGGATGAGCGTGATCTTAACTCACCAATTCAAGATGTACGTGAATGTCCAGCTCCTACGATAAAAATGGCAGTAGATGAAGATCACCGATTTGAATAATTTTTAGCTCGACACAAATAAATTAAGGATAGAGATGCGCATTTCGCACTTCGTAATGCATTAATCGAGCATTTATGGGAGAATAGAGGCGAAAGTTGAATATTTATGTGGTACTTAAATTAAATTTAACTATAATGTAATATTTATTTAATTATCTTTTATCAATGATTTCACTTTTAGTTGATTTATCCTTTAAAATAATTTTTTAATAAATGATTATATAAGTGGTGAATGTGAATTATATGTAATGAATATGGAAAAAGGAAAAAAGATAGAATTTGTTTGAAAGAAATAAAAAATAAAATTTAAGTAGAAGATAATAATATAATGGCGTAATGGCTTCCTGACCACTTAAACTTGTAAGGCTTTTGAAAGCCGATACACAAACTTTGGACTTTCCCATTTGAACACTCAAACTCATGAAACCCTTAACTAATAAACACATTTGATCCTTGACCCTACGCGCGTGTATTACACATTCACAGACTTGTCCATCCAGTCAGCAAATGACCAATGGGATTGTTACACGTCAAGGGCCACTGTGCTGGAATAAATTTATTAATTTCTAATTTTTCTTCTATTTCCCTTATTTTCTTCTTCACCAACTGCTAGAATTAGGAGGCAGGAGCTTGAGATAGTGATGGGGAATGAGCACATATCATTCACTACATCTAAGATTGGTTCACTGATGAATGTGCAGACCAGTAAAGATCCTGACGGACTTCGTATCTTCTATTATCTTGTCCAGGATCTCAAGTGTTTTGTGTTCTCTCTTATCTCTCTCTATTTCAAGATCAAACCCATTTAAGTCGTGATTTTGCCATGGACAATCCCTCAAACAAGAAAAAATTAAAGATGATATTCATTTTAATTTTTTGCAGAGAAGCTTTTAATGAAGAAAAATAATTGTCTATTTTGATTTTTAAGGATAATATATTTTTGGGTATTTTTCAGCAGTTTTAATTGGGAAGGAGACAAAGGTTAGTAGGTGTAGGAGATATTGTGATATTTAGGAAGCTAGACCATTGGTTTATTTGATGTACTTTTTTCGAGCATAAATCCACCATTGTTGTGCAATGAAGAGCTTCAAAGCCTCTAATGAAGAAGGGGAGGGGGGAAGGCACTTTTAGGCGTAGATGGGGAGAAGGGACTGGTTGGGTTCGTTTGGACGTTGTTGTGGGTTATGGGTGAAGCCTTTTTTCTGGTCGTTGGGAATGGTGCGAAGATACAGGGGTGGTGTATAGAAGGCGAGATCCGGGGGGGGGGATGTTTCGATTATGGAAATCGGCACACACACGTCATTTGAATGTGACTTGTACGCACTATGTCCACGTAAGATAAGCTACCGCCACATAAGCATAGTCAATGGTCAAATGTGTTTATTAGTTATAGGTTTCACGAGTTTAAGTGTTTAAATAGGAAAGACTAAAGTTTGTGTATCGGCTTTCAAAAACTCTACAAGTTTAAGTGGTCAGGAAGCCATTTCGCCTAATATAATATAGAAGAAAGAGAAGAATATAAAAAGAAATATTTTTTTTTGGTGTAATAATTGGAGTAAATTTGATATTACACTATTTTGATGTAAAATTTAATGTTAGGGTTGGAGATGATCCGAGCTACCGTCCCTCTTTGAAGGTTTTTACAGTTTTCAATTATTCATTTTGTAAATACTTGCCACTTGCCAGCAAAGACTAATTTGTTACTTCAATGTGGACAAGGACAATACCCTCTCTAATGGTCAGTGTCCGATGACACGTATCCCCACCACGCCATCAAATTTTGACCACATAATTTTTCAGGTACAACTGTGATTTACCTTTCTCTGTGTATGAACAGTGTTAACTAGGGTTCCGTAATAACTGTAGTTTTACTGAAGTGTGAGAAAAAGATGTGAATATCGTGTGATGTTCAATAATTGCAGCATCGTAAAAAAGCTAAAAATCAAATAAAAAAGTTAAAAAAAGAAAAGAAAAACCTAATGAATAGTACAAAAGCAATAATTTTGTCAATCAGTCAAAAGCATCATGATGCCAGTGCGATGCCTTTTCAACGATGGAGACAAAAAGAGAATAGATTAGATCAAAAGTGAAAAACGAATTAGAGGTAATTGGATTTGATTTTGAATATATATCGATTAATTTCTAAGGCAAAGGAATTTGAAAGATTGAGACTCAACTGCTTTATCATTTTACTCTTTATCTAATCTATTCTCTTTTGACCAAATTACGTACTTTCTTCAGTAGTATATTTAAAGAATAGGCATGTCAAGTATATTCTGTGTGAAACCAACTAGCTGACTATAGAAAATTGGTGAGTTGAGAGCTTTAGATCTCACTATTTGGACCTTATTAAATGATGAAATACTTTTGGAGTTCAAATTCTCTCGTTAATATTATTGAATAGCTGAAGTAGCTTGAAAGTTGTGAAATCATTGTTTTTAACCAATAGCCAAAAAGATGGCCAAGGAATGGAGGGGTAGAAGTATAATTTCTTTTCTCCTTTCTTTTGTTTCCTTCCTAACAACCTATTAGCTATGTTGTTAAGCAAATGCGGATCCAAAATTTTAAGCTTATGAGTTCCTACAATAATCTCAAATTAATCTACATGATAATTGAACCAATGAACTGGTTCCAAGCTAAATATTGTTATACTTTTAATAAAAATTTTACTAGGTCTATGCAAAAGTTACTGGGTTCACAAAAACCCGTATTCTTTTCTCTAGATCCGCCCATGTTGTTCAGATTCTCTTCAAAAAATGAGTATTAATTTTGGAGGAACTAACACGCACTCATCAATATTTTCAAAGAGTCCCAACAATGTAACTTATTAGAGTGATGCTTCTATCCTGAAGCTGTAAGGCATTAACTGTGCATTAAATAGGTAAAAACAGCACAGTAGCAAAAAGGAAGGCTATTTTGAATACCTAGCCTTCGCATTAAAAAGCATGATTTAATTTTGACTTCAAGCGGACCAAGAATGGAAACGGAAGCAGTGGTGCTTCAAAACATTGACTGCACCAAGGGCGGATTTAGGGGCGGACAGCGTCACCCTAACCGCCCTTTATCAAAAATTATATTGTATATATTATATTTTAAATCTATTTGACATAGCTCAAAAGAATAGTTTAATGTTTAAGGAGATTCAAAAATTTGGTGAGAACATTGGTTCAATTTCTATTAGTTATAATATTTTTTTTAACTTTTTTCTTTTTTGAACCCTTAGTAGAAATTCTATCTCTGCCACTGAACTGAACTATAAAAAGAATACTTACATTCTACGAGATTAAGTAGTAGCAGTGTAGTGCATGAACACCTTAATTAAATATGTAAAAGAACATCAGGCAATCCGCTGAAACAAAATAGGACAAAACCAAAGATTGCCCCGGGTTAAGGACCTGGTAAATGAGAGAATTAAACTTATGTATATTGTCAGTATAATTAATATTTATATTATCATTATAATTTATTATGCATTTTATGGTTTTTTGAGCCGAGGGTCTCATGGAAATAGTCTCTCTACCCTTCGGGGTAGGGGTAAGGTCTACGTACATATTATCCTCCCCAGACCCCACTTGTGGGATTATACTGGGTCATTGTTGTTATATAATTTAATATGCTGTAGCAATTAAGTAAATTTTGTTGTCATGTTACTAATTACAATACATATTTTATTAATAACTATTAAAGTATCGATAATTATATTTCAAGTGATGTAACACAAAGTGGAAAAAATAATAATAGTAACACCGGTAAAGAAGTCTTACTTACCTTGCACTAACAGGGTAAGCACAGCCAGCTGTGCCTGCGTACATCAAAATAAAGCGAAACATTTATCACCACGAAAAATCTCCAAGAGATAAATAGTGGAGTAGTACTAATAACAGAGCTATAGTGTATGGAAATAATTTTAGTGATGTGTGTAAGCAGTGGCGGATATACATTGGCATTTGTGGGCGCTTAAGCACCCATTATCTTTAATCATATATGGTAAATTTGTATAAGTAATTATAAAAATATGAAGATAAATACTGAGTTAACACCTACAATTAAATTTCTTTTTTCTCTTTTTTTGAAATTTACGTAAGAATTGACTTACTGGGGTCAGTAGCAGTAACAGTGGCAGTGCCAGCAAAATCACATGCTGTTGAAGTTTGGCCCTTCTTCTGGAAATAGCTGTTGACAGCATAATTGCAGTGAGCTCTTACGGTGTTGGGATTAAAGCAAGGGCCATTTGTATGGATCGGATTGCAGTCTGCTCCAGCTCCACAAGCATAGTCCAATGTCTTTTGCAAAGCTGCATCACTCAATCCTTTGCAAGCACACCATGCAGCACCTACGCCCAAAAATCCCAAAAAAAAAAAAGATTCATTAGAAATACGAAGGCCAGAAAGTACGTGGTCTTGCAAATTCAAGAAATTACCAGGGGTTCGAGAATCTAATTTGTTTAAGTTAATGGATTCTAAATTAATAAATTATTCATATTCGATGAATTTCTTAAGATATATACATGATATGGAGAAAAACTATTGTGTTCGACCGAAACTCTAAGTCGTGTTCTAGCTCCGTCCCTACATATGAAGCATATGAAATTAAAATATGTAGCTCATTTATTGTGGTTTATGCACGTATGGAAGGTGAAGGAATTCAGAGGGAGGAAACAAGATACTGTAGGCCCATTTGAAATGAGAAGATAACACATTTTTGCAAATGTAGAAAGAATATAAGGTGGATGTGAATGGCTAAAAGGCAGACAACAACACTAGTTAGTTAGATGCAGCTTTCGGCAGGAACAACATAAATAACTTTAAAAATGAAAGATAAAAGCTTACTAGAGTGGCCAACCATGGCCAAAAAGAGGAGTGCAAAGAGAAAACCAGCCATGAGAAAAGGATAACAGAGCTTGGGATGAAGAAGAGGTCACAATATTTAGAAGATAAAACACTAATGCCAGTAAGCAGAAGACTGTGAGTGGAGAGTGTGATGATAGAGTGAGGAGTGTAGAGTAAAGTGATGGATTAATTCAGACAGAAAAATACAAGCAAGTTGATGCAGCTATCTGGATGATGCGGATAGAATTTTTATCAAGAGGTATCAAAATATGAATAATTAGATATATAAAAAAATCAAGAAAAGTCAACATATAATAAATATGCAAAAAAATTAAAAATAATTATCTAAAAAAATAATATAATTTTCGAGCGAAAGGGTGTGACTTGACACCCCTTACGGCTCCGCGACTGACATGATGGTATATAGGTGGCCCCATGGTAGCCTTACCTTTTGTTAAGTTTTTCGGGCATGGTGCATAATTAGCATATCCTCTTTTTTATTTTTGTTTATTTTTTTCAATTTCCCTCTCTCTAGATCGCCAAAAGGTCCGGATAGCTTCTTTATCCATGTAAAATTAATTGGGTTAGTACTTTCTTTGTCATTTTTCGTTCCTTTCCGCTAGATTTAATTGAAATTTAAAAAATAATATCATAAAAGATAATTTTTAAAAATTAAAATTTTGTTAGGACATGTATTTTACTTGAAAAAAGTTAAAGTTTTATGAGTAAAAAACTGAAAAACTAGTCTAAACTGAAAAAGCTTTTTAAAATATTTTTGGAAAAAAAAAATTATGATCAAACGGAGGCTTAATTTTGACTAATATGATTTGAACTTGAAACATAAATTACTGTATTATATTTACGAGTAGTAATTCTTATTGAGCCATATACACAATTTTTATTACTATGGCTTTTGTGCTTTGCAAATAAAATAAAAGGTTAAATTACATTTGAAGTAGTGAAAGTAGGTCCCATAAAGTTCTTTTTGCAATATTAAAAGAATTAAAATAAGCTACATAAAATATTTTTGAAGAAATTACATCAGATATTATTTGGGCCATATAGCCCATTCGAAAATAGCCAACATTTGAAGTCATTATCTGGTTTAGCCCACATTGTATATATTGTGAAATTTAGTTTTCACCGTAGCCCACAAATATTAAAACAAGGATTTTCCTTTTTAAATTTCAATTTCTCTATTTCTTTTTCTCTCTCCTCCTCACGCTTTTCTCAGAGACGAAGGCAACCGACCTCCATTGTTGGGTTTCAAGTACTTTTTCGAGCTTTCACTCTTATTTTCAAGTAATTTTCGTTTCATTTTATGCTTTTACCACGGTTTTGGTTTTGAATTTTGGTTTGTTTTTAATTTTTTTTGCTTTTCTGATTATGACTATTTTCTTTACAATGTTGTTGTATTTTCGTTTGATTTTGTGTTCCTTCTATCTTCGTTCTGGGCCTAAACTTGATGTTTCAGTTTGTATACTTTGTTATTTCGACTTTTAGAGTAAATTTTTTTTTTTTGAGTTTTGTTACAATTTGGGAAAATTAGCCTCTGCTTTGTGTGCATGACCTTTATTTTCGGTTTGATTTTTATGTTTTCCTTCACTTGTCTTCACTTTTGTTAAAGCTTTGTTTGTTTATTTTATTGTAGAAAATGCGTTCAAAAATACATGCTTCTAAAAGCAAAATGAAGGTTGCTGGAAAAGGCGTTAAGTTCGATTTTGCGAAAAGATTGAGGGACTTGCCCTCAAGCCCTGATTCTGAAGCTAATGTGCATGTCCAGGCCCCAGATGATGATGATTTTGAGTCTCTTGCTCCTCCTAAAAACTCGCAACAGGAGAGCAGTCGAATGACTCGTTCGCAAACGAGGAATACTCCCACTCCAGTTAAATCATCGAGGGACTTGCCCTCAACACCTGCTTCTGAAGCGAATAGGCATGTCCAGGCTCCTGATGATGATGAATTTGAGTCTCCTACTCCTAAAAAAAGTTGCAACAAGAGAGCAGTCGAATGACTCGTTCACAAACGAGTAATACTCCTACTCCGGTTAACATCATTAGAATAAGGAGTAAGAAATGTGGGAGACCTGAAAAATCAAAAGAAAAGCTGAAAGTTGATTTGGTTAATGAAGATGATATAAGCCCTAGTGTTACTCTGAAAAGGAGAAAGATCAAGGACGATGGTGAGAGTGGTCTTGATTGCATATCGAAAGAACAAAGGTTTGCTATTTGCTGCAAATTGAATGAGAGAAAAGCTAAGCTGAAGGTATTCCCTGTGTTGCTATTAATTTTATACATGCTTATACAATTTCATACAAAGTTATACAGTTGTTTATACATCTTTATACAAGTACTGCTACACTGATTTATACATGTTTATACAATGTTTTAGTATAGTTTTTGTTCTTGATCTATTTCTTGTTATTTTTCCATATGCAAGGTTGGAGACTTCTATATACAACCAGTTGATCATTTTCATAATAGGATTAGTTCCCATACCGAGACTGATATTGTGAGCATTTTGAAGCAATGTTTGACTGACACGCAGCTTCAAATGTTCTGTGCTAGTTATTTTGGGTACTTCTTGGACATCCCACAATTGAAAATTCATTGTATACTATTGAGGGAAGTCATCCCAGGACGTGAAAAGGAGTTGTGGGTGAAAATTAATGGTTGTTTTGCTGCGTTTTGGCATTGGAGAGTTTGCTGTTATCACTGGTTTGAAGTGTGTAGAAGAAGATACCACTTTCTATGACAAACCAAATGTCAATAGGTTGCTAAAAGAGTATTTTCTAGGAGATGAAAAAAGGCTATAATGAGGGGGCGGCTTCTTGATCGCTTCAAGAAAAAGGACTGGAAGTCGGACGAAGATGCGTTCAAGATGGCCTTTATGGTGTTTGTCCATCATTTCATATTCTCATATGATAATAATCATGGTATCAACAAAGATGATTTTGATATCATTGAAAGTGGTCAATATCAGACGTATGCTTGGGGAAAAAATCATTTGAAGATATTTTAAAGACAATGAGGGACAGACAATGTGACTATTTGACAATGTATATGCTTAGAGGTTTGCCACTTGCATTACAAATATGGTTTTTTGAGTGTTGCTCTATGGTTGACAAGCATATAGATGTTTGTGTTGTAACAAATGTGCCACGCATTCTTAATTGGAAAGTCACTGAAACTCCAACATATGTGAATTTGACTGGCGGGGTGATCATGTCTAGTATCGACAAGGTAAACATTTTGTACCATAATACTTCTTCATATTTGATTTCAATTTTTCTGTAAGTGGGTATATTTATGAATATGTTACAATTTCTTTTTTCTACTATTGTAATCCAGTTTTTCTTCTTGTAGTTGAACTATAGGAATATTTCCCCTACTCGTGAAGAGATGTCAACTCTTAACACTGACACGTTTTTTGAAGTCAATGTCGATGATGTTGCATCAGGGGAGGTGCCTGCCTTACACACTGATGATTCTATTGCTGCATCTCCACCTTGTCCTCAAAATATGGAGCAACAGTCTAAACGACCTTATCCTTATAATACGGAGCAACAGTCTAAACGACCTTTTCCTCAGAATATGGATCGACAGCCTAACCCGAGTTATGATCCTTCGGTGCGCATTGATCTGTTGAATGCTGAAGTTGAGGAGCGCTATTGGAAAGGTACTGGAGCTTTAGCTTTTCTGTAGTTTATCGGTACTTTTTGTATATACATGATTTTTTGGTTATAAACATGGTTGTTGATTTACTTTTGTTTTTTTTTTGTAGTTGACTGATATAGTTACGACACTCAACAATTATGTAGTTTCTTCCTTTGAAAAAGTGTTCAGTTTTCTGAATACGAAGGAAACCAAGCAAACGAGGGAGGATGTTACTGATTCTAAGGTAATTTTTTACCAATAAAACCAAATCACTCAACAATTATGCCTTCTCTGAATCATCGCTCAACAGCTATGCCTTCTCTTTCTATTATTTTTTTATTAGATTCGTCAACGCGTGTCTGATGACAATACATCTGGTCTCGACGAATTTGATGGCTATCAATATGATGTTGTTCTTGAATTTGTCGATCAAGTGAATCAAGATAATGCGCTAGCTGACAAGGGAGTTACTGATGGTGTCGATCATGGTATTCGATCTGAATTTTATCTTTTTTGTCTTATTTTTATTTTCTTCATTTTGAAAGTTTTTTATTATTGGTTTTCTCTGTCTAAGGGGCAGCAGGTGACGTCAAGGGTGACACATTTTGGGATGACATTGGCGATGAAGATTTAGCTGCGCTACAGATGTCCCAAATTGTGCTTCACAAACCATCCATCATAGACGTAGAAGATGATTACATTTCTCCTCAACAGTTAGTTCGAATGAAAATACCATGAAAATATGCCTGTAAGCACGTGATTTTTGCTTCACGGACAATTGCTCCAAAAGAAAATAAAAATAGCGGCA